GTCTGAGGACAGTCCCAGCAGCAGCGGAGTCTGATGCTGGTCCTTTGTTGAAGACGAGACGACGACAAGACAAGAAGACAAGACGACAAGAAGACAAGACGACGAGACATGAGGACAAGAAGACAAGACGACAAGACATGATGACAAGATGACGAGACTTGAAGACAAGACGACGAGACAACAACAAGACATGACGACAAGAGGACAAGACAAGGAGACAAGAAGACAACAAGACATGACGACAAGAAGACAAGACGACGAGACGACGACAAGACAAGAAGACATGACGACAAGAGAACAAGACTTGAAGACAAGACGACGAGACAACAACAAGACATGATGACAAGAGGACAAGACGACAAGACAACAAGACATGATGACAACAGGACAAGACGACAAGGAGACAAGATGACAAGAAGACAAAAAGACATGACGACAAGAAGACAAGACGACGAGACGACAACAAGACAAGACGACAGGAAGACAACAAGACAAGAAGACAAGACGACGAGACGATGAGACGACTACAAGACAACAAGATATAATGACAAGAGGACAAGAAGACAAGACAACGAGACGACAACAAGACATGACGACAAGAAGACGACATGAAGACGAAGACAAGATGACGTCAAGAAGACAAGAAGACGAGACGACAACAAGACAACAAGACATGACGGTGAAGACAAGACGACGTTAAGAAGACAAGAAGACGAGACGGCAACAAGACAAGACGACAAGAAGACGGAAAGACGACGTTAAGAAGACGAGATGACAAGAAGACAAGACGACAACAAGACATGACGACGAAGATAAGACAACGTCAAGAAGACAAGAAGATGAGACGACAAGAAGACAAAAAGACAAGCTGACAAGACGGGAAGACAAGACAAGGTGACACGACGACAAGACGAGAAGACAAAAAGAAAAGACGACAAGATGAGATGACAAGAAGATAAGACGACGTCAAGAAGACAAAAAGACAAGACAAAATGACAAGACAAGAAGACAAGAGTAGAGGAGGGGGGGTAGAGGAGTGACAGGGTTATAGATGGTACCGAGCCACAACCAGGATCCAGTTCCCCGAGGATCTGTGTTGACATCACCACGTCCTGTTTACGACCACGACGTACAATGCTACAATGCTAGTGGTTAGTGATCGCAGGCGTAGGGCGTAGCTAGTGGCTGTTGAGCCACTTGTCGAAACGTT